AACTTTGCCTTTTTCACTTTTCTTACAGCAAATTCTGTGGTATCACGAACAAAATAGTCCTTCCTGAAGCTCTCAGTAGACAGTGATCAATCCTCATTGACTAACCAGGACGTGGGGCTCCATAACATTGAAGAGTGAAGAAAGGAAGGTTTTTGCTTGGCTTCTGATTCACTTCGTCTCACTGTGCCTCCTGCACAATAATAGACTCCTGTGTCTTCGGTTTTGAGGCTGTTCATTTGTAGATACAGCTGGCTTTTGGCATTGTCCCTGGAGATGGTGAAGCGCCCCTTCACTTTGTCAGGATAGGTAATTCTGCCAGAATTATAGCTTATGTATGCCACCAATTCAAGTCCTTTCCCTGGAGCCTGTCTCACCCAGAACATATCATAGCTGCTGAAGGTGAATCCAGAGGCTTGGCAGGAGAGACGGAGGGACTCCCCAGGTGTTCTCACATCCCCTCCAGACTCCACCAACTGTATGTATATATATATATATATATATAGTGGCAATAATTACCTTTGAGGACTACAAGTATGGACAGAATGTTTAGCCACATATTTGCTCACTGTAATGAATAGATGAAATTGATAGGAGAAGATTTTGGAAATAGCGCAAGATTTATGTTGGTGGGTGTTATCTTAAAAGTAAGTCGGGCTTCTTTAAAGGGGAAATTGTATCTTGATTTGCATATCTGTTGGGATAAAAGAGTAACATGGGGCATTGATTAACCCTTAACCACAGATATACTATTCCGGCTACACTATTTCAGACAGAATGACCACTCTAGCTACATAGTCCATTAATTGGACCACAATATTGTACACTAACCTTGATTATACACACTTTTGTTGGTGATGTCTCTGCATGGAAATTTGAAATCCCCTTAAACATTCCAGGCAGTTTCATTTCATTTTTATTTAAACCCTCAGCTTTGTGGTCGAGATCAATGGACCCCTGAGATGTGAAATTCTCTTGAGAGAATATTCAGTGAACTATGANTATATTATGGAAAACCCCAAATACATTAAATTGCAGGGAAGCCTCAATATGCTCTGATTTCTGTTCTAAATTCAGACATGGCTTAATAGTAAGGATTGTAGTCTTTCAAGAACAGTGGGGTCATTTACCCAGTTCGGATCGGTTTGGGTGAACCAGTAGCCCTGGACTGTGGGTGACACCTCCCAGGCCTACCCGCTCCCAGCCACCCGCAGCGGCACCAAAAGTCTTATGTAGCCTCGTTTTTGATACCACGTGCATGCATGCAGGCCATGTGCATGACCAAAGCACATACATCAAAGACACACACATGCATGACACAAGGGTGTGGAACAATGTTCCCTCTATTTTTTTTTCCAGTGTGTGCAGAAAAGTATAGTGTTTGAGTGGCACAATTTTATGCATGAGCACCTGATTTTTTTCACAGATGTTTCACAGAGCAATTGATTTATAGGATCCAAATTGGAATGGAAAAAATGGTTTTGTGCGTGGGTGCATTTGTATGTTTGTGTGTTTGTGTGTGTGTGTGTGTCTGAGAGAGAGAAAGAGAGAGAGAGCAAGTGATCCGGTAAGGGAACTGCGCCTATTTAGAAAAGAAGGTAAATTATTTCAAACATGATCAGTCGAAGATAAGTATGGGGACAGGTTGGGCGCTAGAGGGGGAAGGGGGAGAGAGAGAAAGTGATAAAAGAGTGGGAGAGAGGAAGAGGGGAAGAAAAAAGAGGGAAGAGAGACAGAAAGAGATAGAGAAGGATACAGAAAGCGACAGAAGAGTGGGAAAGAAGAGAGAAAGAGAGACAAAGAGAAAGAGAGTTTGAGAGAAAGAGACAAGGAGGAGAGAGAAGGGAAAAGGAGAGAGAAAGTGACAGAAGAATGGAAAAGAAGGAGAGACGAAGAGAAAGAGGATGAGAGAGACAGAGAGAGAAGAGAGGAAGAGGAAAGAGTAAGAGGGAAAATCTCATTTCAACCCTGAAGTGGAAATATTCTCTTTGATTGGTAATTTTATTTGTCCATTTACTATCAAATATTCTCATTTCTCCTTAAGTTCATCAAGAATTCCCTTGTTTTCATTGAATTTATCAGAATACCTTGAGAACAACTTTTTTCAGTATAGCTTTACAGCTATTTAAAATATTCAGTAATTTAGGTCAGGTTTTCAGAACATTAGTCTACTATTTATGTCTCTAAATGCAAAGAAACCTACCTACATTTTTCATAACTGACATTCACTGTTGACCCAAAAAGCCCATCATAGAAATAAACCCTCCCTATGAATTTTGTTGGGTTTCCATGGAATGAAGTTTGATCTTTTTCTTCAACCATACATTAGCATATTCTTTCCAAGGAGGATATAATCAAGATAGTCCATAATTGCCTATCAATCTAACAGTATGGCGATTAACAATCTGTTTATATTTCAACTCTAACTCTTTCAGCCTTAAAGATTTGGTGAGGAGAAGTCCAAAAATTCTTTTAAAGAGGAAAAAATGCTTGCACAATTGCACCTATGGAGACATGTATATATCCACAACACAGAGAGAAACAAACTTAACAAAGTGCTAAGTCTGCTCACCAACTCTCTCTCTCTCTCTCTCTGTCTCTCTCTGTCTCTCTCTCTCTCTCCTCTCTCTAACTCATGAGAGTGAGCGTGTGTATCCCTCCTAACTTCAGCCCAACACTCTTGCTGGCTTCCCGGCCAGGTAAGAGGAACTACAGAGGGTCTCCTCGAGTCAAGGGCAGTGAGTCATTCAATGGGAAAGTTGCCTCTCAGAAGGAATGACACAGTTTGGTTCATGCTTTCAATCCGCCGCACAATGACCAAACAGGGAAGAAAAGAGGCAAGAGAGACGAGTTCTTATGGCAAATCTGAGCAGCCGCTGCTGGAAACCCATCCCATGCCTTCTCCAAACCCCGCACCCCTTCTCTCAGCTACTTTCTGCCTCATGGACGTAGAACTGATTGGATCCCTGCTGTCTCCGGGCTGGCTCTCCTCTCCTATTATTGTGGAAGGCGTCTCACAAAAACCACTGTGCAGCAGTTGGAAACTGCTGTGCAGTGTTTTGTTGCCACATGTGCGGCCGCAACATTGGTTGCATGTCTCAAAATGATGAACCGTAATAGATAATAAATGTATTTATTAGAGAGGACATCAAAAGGCTACAAGTTAGGACAGGTAGAGGAAAAAGGATGTCATGCTAGGAGGAGACTAGTAGAGAAACGGGATTTCCAGTTGCCTCCAGAGTTAAAAGGGGGGCTTCCCGTTAGGACTTTTGTGGCTCTTTGATTGTTTAAGGTTGCTGATTCCCGATTTATACCAAGTGTAATTGACAGACTGGATTTTATCACAGATTTTAGTTGTTATCTATTTATTTTATCCTGGAATTTTCAATTGCATATTTACTGAGTGTTTTTATTTATTCTGGTCTATGGCTGTAATAAATTAAACTGAATCGATATAGATTTATTCACTCCTTCCCAATCCTAGTGCAAAAATATATTTACATTTCTATGATTGCCTAAATTTGACAGGTACTCAAAGATTGAGGAAGTTTTTGTCTGGCTTCAGATTCACTTCCTCTCAATGTGTCTGCCACACAATAATAGACAGCTGTGTCCGCCGGTTTGAGATTGTTCATTTGAAGATGCAACTGGCTCCGGGAATCATCCCTGGAGATGGTGAAGCATCCCTTGACTTTGTCTGGGTAGTAAGTATTAGATGAACCTGTACTTATGCGGGCTACCCATTCCAGTCCTTTCACAGGAGCCTGACTTAGCCAGGTCATCCAGTAACTGCTGAACGTGAATCCAGAGGCTTGGCAGGAGAGACGGAGGGACTCCCCAGGTCTTCTCACATCCCCTCCAGACTCCAATAACTGGACCTCAGATCGGACACCTAGAAGGAAAGTTCTTTCAATAAGCTCTCCTTTATACAGGAACAACACATCGGATGATCCTGAATAGGGACAAGACAGTTACCTTGGAGGACTGCTAGTAAGGGCAGTAAGTACAGGGACAAAGTCATACTTGCTCTCTTGTGAGGAATGGAAGAGAATTGATAGGAAAGAAGATGGAACAGTGCATAAACTTTGGGTTGGTGGGTGTAGCCTGGAACGGAAAATCAACTGGCTGCTTTAAAGGGGAAATTACATCTCGATTTACATACTGGTGGAGATAAAAGAGCTCCTAGGTGTATTTACGTCCTACTTTTCCTTGCACACTCCCTAAAGGGTTGATTCACCAGCCCTAAGAAAAGAAGCCTTTACATTAGAGCAGGAGTGTCCAACTCACATCATCACAGGGGCATCACATGATGTATAAGGATATTTTCCCGCTTCGCTAAACCTTTTGTGGGTGTGGCCAGTATGTAACACATCCACCCTGTGAGCCGGGAGTTTGACAGCCCTGGATTAGAATCCTTAAAGCAAAGACTTGCAAAATTTCAGCATTTCCAAAAAGTGATTCAAAATGAAGATATCAGAGGATGATTACATGGTAAGAATTATTGAAAGATACATGTTGGAGATAGAACAGGAAAAGTACAGCATAGCTGAGTTCAAGTGTTGTAATTTTTTTCTCCATTCATATTCCCCTTTTAGGTACGTGGTGTCTCAGTGGATAAGATGCTGAGCTTGTCAATCAGAAGGTCGGAGGTTCAGTGGTTCAAATAACTAGCGCTGCATAACAGAGTGAACTCCTGCTATTGATCCCAGCTTCTGTCAACCTAGAAGTTCGAAAGCATGTAAAAAAGTAGAAAAATAGGAACCCCTTTTGGTGGGAAGGTAACAGCGTTCCATGCACCTTGGATGTTTAGTCTATCAGTCTGTTAATGTAGCCAGGGTTTGCCCTGGCTTTTAAACAGACTGACAAACTTTGCCTTTTTCCCTTTTCTTACAGCAAATTCTGTGGTATCACGAACAAAATAGTCCTTCCTGAAGCTCTCAGTAGACAGTGATCAATCCTGATGGACTAATCCAGGACGTGGGGCTCCATAACATTGAAGAGTGNGCTCTCAATATTTCCTGGCAGGAGGCTCTTCTACAGTGAGTCCTTCCTCCTCATTAGCTGCTCAAAGTATTTGAGTCTCATCTTCAGGATCTGGCCTTCTAAAGAGCAGTCAGGGTTGATCTCCTATAAGACCGACCAGATTGATTTCCTTGCAGTCCAAGGGACTTCTAGGAGTCTTCTCCAGCTCCATAGTTCAAAGTCCTCAATTCAGCCTGGCTTATGGTCCAAATTTCACAGCCATACACTGCAAGTAGGAAAACCATAGACTTGAAAATAAACATTTTTATTGGCAGAGTGATATCACTGCTTTGAAATTTGAAATACCCGTACACATTCCAGGCAGTTTCCCTCATGAAAAACAGCAACATTTTAATTAAAATCCTCAGTTTTGTGGTCAAGATCAAAGACCCGTGAGATGTGAAATTTTCTTGAGAGAACTTTCAGTGAATGATGACAAAAAAAAAATTGTCATGTTTCCAGAATGAGACAATATCTAACAATGCTTATTTTATTCTCTACCCAACCCCCACCGGGTGCATAGTCCATGGAGTTTGGTGTGACAACATTGCCCCCTGGTGTCCAAAGTGAGGAGAGAACACAATCCTCCTAATTCTCTGAGGAGATTCTTTAGGTCCAGATGTTTACTCAATATCTTTGTGGCAGTTTGGATATTTAGAAAGATCATCCTCATGTTTCATTTCCTATCTTATGCCTGGATACTCAGGGCTGCCTTAACTCAGAGGCCTGATGGGCTGTTGCCTGCAGACCCACAAGCATAGTGGCCCCATACTAATCTGTGTACGTTAACCCTTCAATGAATCTTGTATCATATAAGTACATCAACTCTATGTATTACTGAGTATTATTGTGTTTTTTCAAGCTTCGTGTGTTGTTCAAATGTTTATCATGTTGATTAGTTTTTGTCGCACAACATGCTTTTAATGTTTCAACACTGATTTTGTTGTATGTGGCAATGAAATAAATATATGCTTAAGTTTAAGGGACGAGATGGCTCAGTGGCTAAGACGCTGAGCTTGTCAATCAGAAAGGTCAGCAGTTCGGTGGGTCAAATCCCTAATGCTGAATAACGGGGTGAGCTCCAGCTTCTTCCAATGTAGCAGTTTGAAAGCACAAAAAAATGCAAATAGAAAAAAATAGGGACTACTTTCATCCCTACATGCAGTATACATATCTGCTAGTCGTTACGGACACTTGGGTGGGGGATGCTCATCTCCGTTTTAAAGCCAAAGAGCCAGCGCTGTACGAAGACGTCTCCTTGGTCATGTGGCCAGTGTGACTAAACACCGAAGGTGCATGGCATGCTGTTACCTTCCCACCAAAGGTGGTCCCTATTTTTCTACTTGCATTTTACGTGATTTTGAACTGCTACGTTGGCAGAAGCTGCGACAAGTAGCGGGAGCTCACCCCATTACACGACACTAAGGATTCAAACCACCTGCTGACCTTTCTGATCAATAAGCTCAGCGTCTTAGCCACTGGGCCACCATGTCCCTATAATTTATTAGAGAAGGTATTAAAAGGCTAGCACATCTGATGTTTACTATAAGATTTCTCCCTTAACCTTTATTTTGCTTTATGCAAAAAATGTCACCCCTAGTCCTTCTTTTCATTAGACTAGCCATACACAAATCCTGCAATTTTTCTTTGTATGTTTCAACCGCCAGTCAACTTATTACTCTTCTCTAATAAATTATAG